GGTACATAGTTGTGTATTCTTAGTTGTGGGTCCTTCTAGTTGTGGCATGTGGGATGCCACCTCAGCATGGCTCGATGAGTGGTGCCATGTCCACGCCCAGGATTCGAACCAATGAAACCCTGGGCTGCCTGCAGTGGAGCTCGTGAACTTAACCACTCAGCCACGGGGCTGGCCCCCCATTTGAAAGGGTTTTAACTTGAGCTGGGTATTGAAGAAAAGTAGAATTTCAGAAAATGGGAGTAGAATAGAGTTGAATGTCATGCCTAGACCCGAAAGAAGGGAACAGGATATTCAAACATAGGATGGTGAAAAAGTATAGAAAATGTTTAAGGAAATAGAGGGTATATCACAGAAAGTAGTGGGAGAAAAGCACAGAGAGGGAACATAAGGCCAGATTATAGAGGGCTTTGAATGACTAAGGAATCTGGATTTTAGTTGATTATACTTGGGAGTCATTGACACTTTTGAACAAGGGAGTAACTTATTCATGGCTGTGGCTTAAATAGATCAATCTGAATCCTCAATAAAATATAAAAGAATCCAACAATATATAAAAAGAATTACACATGACCAAGTAGAATTTATTCCAGGTATGCAAGTCTCGTTAAACATTCAGAAAAATCAATGTAACCCACAAAATCGATTGGCTAAAGGATTAAAACCATATGATCATATTAATTGATTCAGAAAAAGCATTTGACAAAATCCAACACTATTCATGGTAAAAAAAAAAAAAAAAAAAAAAAAACAACTCTCAGCAAACTAGGAATAGAGGGGAACTTCATAAACTTGATAAAGAACACCTCCACAAAACCTACAGCTAACATCATATTTAATGGTAAGAAATGGGTGGCTTTCCCCCTGAGATCAGGAACAATGCAAAGATGTCCACTGTCACCATTCTTCTTCACAGTTATACCAGATGTCCCAGCTACTGCAACAAGACAAGAAAAGGAAAACACAGGTAGGAAGGGAAGAAATGAAACTGTCTTTATTCACAGCTGACATGACGCCTATGTAAATAGATCAGTCTGGCACCCAGTATAGGAAGGACCCTTACTAATTTGGTAACATAATTTTGAATCAAGAGAGCGGAACTAATTTCTTAAGCTCAAGCTAGAGTAGCAACCTGCCAGAGCCCACATGAAAAATAGAAAAACCAACAAGCAAACAGAGCCAGAGTCCCAATTTAAACAGCAAACTTGAACTGAGTTGATAGCGATGCTAAGGCACTTAGATGAAAAGTAAGGAATTTCACTAAATATCAGATCTCAAGGCCTCTGTTCTGTTTAGGCCAACTCAATAACACTCTTCCGTTCCTCCTCCACCCCAGAAATCAACTTCTGTTCTGGAGGGTAGGTTATGATGTGACAACTGTGTACAAATAAGCTGCTTTATAATACATTGGCATTTACTTCATCTTCTTCCTCATCTTCTGCGAGGCTCAGCCCAAGCAATCAGGATAAAACTAAAAATAAAAATCACCACAATATAATCCAACATTTCCATATTTCTGTGATGGTTTCCAAGTGAATATGTCCTCCTATAACTAGAGTAGAAAACTTCAGAACAATTCAATCAATGAGAATGTGGTTGAGTACTGACAATGTGTAAGACTCAGCAGAGAATAAAAGGAAGTTTAAGACAAGTATAGTTTGGTGAAAGAGAAAAAGTACAAGATTCAAAGTCAGATGGACAAACCTGAGTTTTGAGTCTTGCACAGTCACCTCCAGCCATGTGACAGGCAAGTTTCTTAATCTGAGCTTTCTTGATTTTGCAATGAGAATGATAATAATGCCTACCTAATGTTGTGAGAATGAAACATGAAAATACACATGAACTTGGTTGGCTTCAAATGGCTAAACAAATGTTCAGTTTGTTTATCCAGTTGGTAAGGCGAAACCTATCCATGAGAGTCTTACGTGTCTAAAGCAGATGAGGGCTACAGGCAGCAGAAAGAGCAAAGGGAAAATTCTATGGGCTGAGGTAGACAACAAAGGCATCCCGAAGGATTCAACTGGCTAACAGTTGAATCTTAAAGGATTCAGGGTAGAATCCAGCTACACAGGGAAGGGGGAAGAGACGATGGCATAAGGGAGGCACTCAAAAATAATTATTGAATGAGGGAATGAATGGAAAACATAGAGAAACAAAAGACCATATAGAATGTCCAAGATATATCCTAGAGGCAGTGAGTGGACCAGAGATTAAAATTAAAGATGACCTTTGACTCTGCAGAAATTTTGTTTTCTCCCTATGGGTGCCCATGTGAACACTCAGGCATGCTCTAGAGATAGGCATTTCTGTTCCCCTGGGCCTAGAGGGGCCACATGTCCAGAGAAACCACGCTGTGGCTGGTTTGACCCCTGGTACTGTGCTATCTGTCTGACCTATCTGCGACCTGCATTTCTGGGTGAAGACATTTCCTGTAGCCTCAGTAGGACAAGACAGCTCTTGCACCTGACATATTTAGACACATACATGATCTCAACGGCCACTGTTCTCTCTTGATAACCACCACGTCACCTAGATTGCTAAAGTCAGCTTCCTCCACTAACCACAGTGCGAAAGATTCTCGTGGGAAAAAAAAAAGGTGCCAAGGCATCTTCTGACTTTCGGGCTTGTGTTTTCAAAATGAAGCCTTCAGGTAAGAACAATGGTCAGAGGGAAAACAAGCTTTCGGGGTATGGGGGAGGTACAGAGGGAGAGTCTGCATATAGGCCGAGGACAGAGGTCGAGGCAGCAGAAATTAATGGAAAGAACGCTAGAGATTTGGGCTCTGGTTTAGGGCTTGTCATTAAATCTCTGTCTGATCTTGGGCAGGGGCTTAACCTCTCTGGGTATCAGTTTTGTCGTATGAACATCAGGAGGTTGATGGCAGCGACCTCTAAGGATCTTGCAGTGCTTACATTCTAGGACTGCAAATGAAAGAGATCCTATTTTCTGTGCTGGGAAGAGGCAGGTCAAACCCCACCCCCCTTCTCTGATGCTCCTTTATCCACTCTCCCCCTCACAACCCCGAATGATCCAGAGAAGTAACTGGCCCCATCATTAGAGAGTCAATGAATAACTAAAGTTGGGCAGAAGGAGTAGGTCTGTTTTTTTGGTTAGTTACTCTCACCGTCCTACAAAGAAGAAAAAGTCACTACTGTGAGGTTTCTTCTCCCCACTGCGGCTGTAAGTGGGATTGCTCATCAAGTCCTAATGCCCCAAAACGTCATTCTTGGTACCACACTTGTGCTAGACATGGATAGACTGGCCTTTGCCAGGAAGAGACAGACCAGAAAGGTGAGGGCCTGGGAACCTTGTCTGATGAGGACAAAGTAGGAATGAGGGTATTTCGGCTGAACAGGAGCAGATGCAAGAAAAGTGTGACAACAGCCACAAGAAGCTGGAAAGTGGACAGAGAGGATGCACTTGTTTGGTGTGGCTCCACAGGGTGGAACCAGAGGCCGCGAGAGGAAGCTCCAAGCGAGGACAGATAACATCGCCACTGGAGGGATAGTTTGCCCAGAATTACAGCATCCGAGAGTATTTCATGGGGGTAGTGACCTCCCCACCCCAGAACATGTTCTAGCCCCAGAGGCCCCGTGACAATCTGCCAGGAAACCTCAGAGAGTACACAGTCAGCAGGGCGCAGGGTCAAGGGTCCTTTCCAAGGCTGAGATTCCAGGATTCCACCACAGAGTGGGCTCTGAAGCTCAGCAAATGTTGTTCACCTTACTTTCTAGCTGTTTTTTTTTTGTTTTTTTTTTAACTTGCCTGGATTCTTGTAAACGGAATCCTGTGCTGTGTGACTGTACTTATTGCTTGTCTATCAACATTCAAGGGGGCAGGGACCCCAGGCTTTTGATTTAAAGTCTCCCTAATTTCTGTCTCCTCTTCCAATCAGAAGTGTCACCAATGCGATCAGGAATTAAGACATTTTAGATGCAGCAGAGAGCCTTAGTTAAAGGTTTTGTAAAGCCAGTGATTCTTTTGCAAAGTGAAAAATGTTGCTCGAAGTTTGGATTTTTCTGATCAGACTAGTATAGAGAGGGGCCCATCGTTCTCGTGCTGTACAGAGAAGAATAAAATACAGTCACTTTCATGCAGTATCTGCGCGGACCTAACACAGGGCAGTGGTGGGTATTCAGAACAAACCCTATAGCACCCAGGAGAACATACAACCTTGAGTGTCACCCAGGGAGGCGGGAGGACAACTGCTGATGGCCCCCTCTTGTGCTGCTTTCTTTACCCACCTCTGGAATCACTAGCTTAGTTCTCCTTTCTGAAATTGTTTTCTAACTTGCACCCACGACATTCCTCTTCAAGAAATCATTATATCAGGGGCGGCCCCATGGACAAGCGGTTAAGTTCGCGCACTCCGCGTTGGCGGCCCAGGGTTTCACTGGTTAGGACCCTGGGTGTGACACGGCACTGTTCATCAGGCCATGCTGAGGTGGCGTCCCACGTAGCACAACTAGAAGGACCCACAACTGAAATATACAACTATGTACTGGGGGTCTTTGGGGAGAGAGAAAAAGGAAAAAAAAAAAAAAAGATTGGCAACAGATGCTAGCTCAGGCACCAATCTAAAAAGAAAAAATCGTTATATTTGCCATGGCGATACTGTTTAGAAACAGAAAGAATCTAGCTCTCCAATGAAAGAAGACAATCTTATTAAACTTTGAACTGCTCATGCTTTGCAATATCATGAGGCCCTGAGCAAGAATCATTTAAAATCCATGAAGCAACGTGTAAGATGCCAAGGAAAGGTGAAACAAACAGCACACAGTGTAGGGCCGTAACCCTACCAAATATGCATGTGCGTATACAATGATGTAAAAGAAAAACTGCTTAAGACAAATAGTTGAAGTGACCCCAGGGAGAATTATTTGAAGGACAGGTTCTCCCACTTCCCCCTCCCCCCATACGCCGTTATGTAAATTTTTCACTAATTTCTTAAAATTGCTTGCATGGCAAGTACTAATTTAAACAAATAATCATTTCAGCGTTACCTTTTCTTTTCCAGCACTACCTTTTGAAGGGCAGTTTCCTTTCCCCAGGAGAGGAGGCTGGTTTGGTTAATCTGATTTTTGTTTGAAGTTGCCACAGCGTGTTCACTCTGAGGGTTACATGCAGGGGAGAAACCTCATAAGAAAATGGCAGTAAGCCTCAGGGTTCATTTTCTCAGCCAAGAAAGGTTCTAAACCTGCCCCCCTCACCCCCAACAGGCAGAGGACTGTCAGCTGGGGCACTTACACCAAGAGCAATATCCGCCCGGAATGCTGGCACCCCACCTCTCTCAGTGCTCTGAGCTTAGTCTCCCTGTAGGAGCAGCTGTGCTCTGACAATCATTCAAAGCTGAACACCCCACAGACCTCAGACCCAAGGCATGGACCCCAGCTCGGCCCCCGAATGGGACTCATAACTGCCGTCTGCTTAGCCGAGTTCTCCTGACGGAAAGTCAAGTTCCTCAGACCCCATTCCTGCCTTCTGGTGTCCTCAGTTCTTACAAACGAGCTCACAGCCATAGAAGGACTTCAAAACAGGACCCTCTCCCCACAGCGTCCCTAAGTTATTGCCTCACTAACATTCCCTACAACCTGACAGTTGGAGGGATCCCTCCCCGCTTTGAGGAAAGCTGAAGAACTGACAGCCTCAATGCTGCAGATCAAGCCCAATGCACCCCTCTCTCCACCTCCCTGGAGAAAGCAGTGCCTAGAAATACATGAGCAGGGGTTCTGGGTGCTCACATCCCCCACAGGGCTTGATGTCCCCTCTGTACTGCGATCCCAAAGGATCTTTCCAGATGGAGCCACACAGGCTTTCCTAGTCCCTTAAATCCTAAACCCTGAGACACCAACTTTTATTCACCTGGTTTATAAACCATACCAATTTTACTGGAGTTGTTGAACATTTTACAGCCCGGGGAACGTTATCCTCTGTTGGCCCAATAGACCATCCAGCCCAATATTTGCCCTCTGATATCCTGTTCTCACTCCACTTAGCTTAAGATTGGTCCCTTTCCCAAGCTCCAGCCCACAGTGGCCCTGCCTCTGCACGCGCCTGTGGGTCATACGCTAAAGGTCTATCTTGTCTCTCTTTGGTTCTCTAATTAGACCTGTTTCCTTCATTGGACTGAAAGCTCCTGCTGGGAGGTCCTGGAATCAAGGCCCGGGGAATCCATCCAGCACTAGATAGGGGCACACAGAATGCGCTCACCAGGGACTTGTGGAATTAAACTTGAAACAGAGGCGTTCCCAAACACCCTGAGAAGCCTTTAATAATCCAGTAAGAATGCCATCCATGAGCTCAGCTGTAACACTCGAAGCAAGTAATTTGTTATACACATCCCGCCAGGTATTAGCTTCTGGAACATGGCTCACAGGCATATTCCCCTTTGTCAGATTATCTGCAAATATCTGAAATATAAACAAGGCTTGTAACCACAGAGAAATGCTGAAAGTTTAGGTAACAGAAAATATTATACAGCATATATATCAAAAAGCACTAAGGCATTGTTGGCCCTGCCTCTTCCCTCCCTGCCTCCTGGGGACACGTGACTCCTAGACATCTGCTGTCAGCTCATCCCGCACAGTCCCAGAGGTACAGCCCTCCTGAAGCCCACTCCCCTGCCTCCCCATCCCACCCCAACGTCTCCAGTTCCCCTGCTTCTCTAACTGCCAGCGTCCTTTTGAGGCTCCCTTTGGGCCTCTTGCTCCAACCACGGCCCTATTTCCTGTTTACACATTTCTCAGGTCATAGAGGCGAGCACTCTTCCCGGCCTCCCTCCAGCTTCCAGCCATGACCCTCTAGAGGTGACGAGGTCCGTAAGCTTATCCTACACTGATTAAGGCAGGACAGACTAAGATGTCCTAAATTCAAGTTGTTCAAGATTCTGGGGGAAAGTGCCCCACGTGCTTTACACTAGAGTCTCGTCTTCAGGTCTGAAATCCCTTCGAGGGGGCCTCCAAGTCACTGTGCTGACTCAGCTCCCCTCAGGCAGCGTGGAGGATCCCTCACAACAGGGCCACTTGTGGTTTTCCACAGCTGAGGGCTCATGACAGCACACACTCTCAATCCTTGCTCATACCTGAGAAGCAGGTCATTTTAAACAGGAAGGAGAATCCGGCGATTTAGGTTTTTATATCTCCAAATACTCAGTCCTTGGAAGCCTTCCGCCTGCCTCTCCGCTCAGAAGGACAGACCCTTCCCCTCAAGCACTTGGCATCATGGAAAGGAAGTTTCCTTTTGGTAAAACGTGAGAATTATGTTAACTACAGAAAACATGCAAAATTTCGCATATGCACATGTGAAAGCACATGAAGCACACACACTCACTTGAAAAACTGGAGAGAAGGCCAGCCTGGCGAAAATCAGCATATTGTTACAGAACACTTCCAATATGGTTCAGGCACGGGCAAATTCAATTTATTTAATATTCAAGGTATTCACTTCTTTTGAGTGAAAATGTCTTTGGAGTTTGTGTCTTTTAAGAAATTTGTCCATTTCAACTAAGTCGTCAAACGTCCTGGCATAAAGTTGTTCATAATAGTCCCTCTCTATCTTCCTCATAGTGATGTACCCGTCTCATTCCTGATACTATTGGTCATGTGTGTTTTCTTTTTTTTCTCTGATAGGTCCAACAAGGGGTTTATCATTTTTCTTGATCTTCTCACAGAACCAGCTTTTGACTTTCTCTATTTACTGTACCTGAGTATATTTTCTTTTTCACTGATTTCCTCTCTGGTCTCTATAATTTCCCCTTTCTGCTTACATTTTTGGTTTTATTTGCTCTTCTTATTCTGTTTTTTCTTTTAATGTTTACTTTTTTATTTTTTTTGGTGAGGAAGATTGGCCCTGAGCTAACATCTGTGCCAATCGTCCTCTATTTTGTACGTGGGACACTGCCACAGCACAGCTTGATGAGCAGTGTATAGGTCGGCACCTGGGATCCAAACCAGTGAACCCCATGCCACCGAAGCAGAGTGTGCAAATTTAACCACTACACCACCAGCCAGCTCAAACTGCCTTTTTTTTTTTAATCTTCAGTGGCTGCCTAATGCCTATTGTGTAATTTTTGTTTTTGTTTTTGTTTTTTGCAGGGGAAGATTCACCCTAGGCTAACATCTATTGTCAGTCTTTCTCCTTTTTTCTTCCTTTTTCCTCCCCAAAGCCCCAGTACACAGTTGTGTATAGTTCTAAGTTCTTCTAGTTCTTCTCTGTGAGCCACCACCACAGCATGGCTACTGACAGACTAGTGGTGTGGTTCCATGCCCAGGTACTGAACCCAGGTCACCTTAGCAAAGCACACTGAACTTTAACTGCTAGGCCATCAGGCTGGCTCTTATTCTGCCTTCTTAAGGAGAAAGTTGAGGTCATTGATTGGAGAACTTCTTCTTTTCTAATGAAGGCATTTTAGTGCTATAATTTTTCCCCTAAGTACTGCTTCAACTGCATCCCACACATTTTGAAGTCCTGTTTTCATTTTCATTCAGTTTAAAATATTTCCTAATATCTCTTTTTATTTCTTCTTCAACCCAAGTGTTACTTAGAAGTGTGTTAGACAGTTTCCAAATGTTTGGGGAATTTCCAGATATCATTCCTCTATTGATTTTTAATTTAATTCCATTATATTCAGAGAACATATTTAAGATGGCAGCTATGCTCACCACCATCCAACCAACACACACTAAGAGAACATACTTGGTAAGACGTAAGTCCTTTTAAATGTAGTGAGACTTACTTTATGGCCCAGAATATGTTCTATCTTGGTAAATTTTCTGTGTACATTTGACAAAAATGTGTCTTGTGCTGTTGTTGGTGGAGAGTTCTATAAAGTATCAGTTAGGTCATATTGGTTGATAATGTTGTTCAAGTCTTCTCTATCCTTATCAGTTTTCTGCCTACTTGTTCTATCAATTATTGAGAGAGGGGGATGTTGAAATCATTCACTATAATCGTGAACTTTTCTATTCCTCCTTGCAGGTCTATCAATTTTTGCTTCATATATTTTGAAGTTCTGTTATTAGATGCATAAATGTTTAGGATTGTCATCTTGATGAACTGATCCTTATATAATTATGAAATGACTCTCTTTAATTCCTGGTAATATTTATTGTTCTCAAATCTACTGTTTGACATTAATATAGCTACTATAGTTAATCTTTTTCATCCTTTTACTATAAATCTATTTGTATCTTTATATATATATTTATTGTAAAAGGATTCCCACCATTTAGTTAATTAACACATCCATCACCTCACATAATTTTCTTTTTTGAGAGGGTAGGGGGGTGGTGAGAACAATTAAGTTCTACTCTCCTAGAAAATTTTAATTACATAATACAGTATTATCAACTACAATCACCATGTTTTACATTAGATCCTCAGATCTTATTCATCTTACAGCCTTTTACCAACCTCTCCCTATAAAATCTTTATATTTAAAGTGAGTTTCTTGTAAGCAGTACATAATTGGGCTTTGCTTATTTGTCTAACTTAACAATCGCTGCCTTTTAATTTGGGTGCTTACACTATTTCCATTTCATGTGATTATTGATATGCTGGAGTTTCAGTTTACCATGTTGATATTTGTTTTCTATTTGTCCCATCTGTCTTTGTTCCCCCTTTCCCCTTTTTCTGCCTTCTTTTGGATTATTTCTTCTAATTCATGTTATCTCCTTTGATTGTTTATTCACTAGACTCCATACTGATTGCCTTAGGGCTTCTGGTATGCATTGTTACTGTCAAGTGTTTACTTCTCCACACACAGTATGAGAACCCTACAACCTGTACTTCCATTTCTCCCCTTCTGTCCTTTGTGCTATTACTGCCATGCATTTTACTTCTACATATACTATAAAACCCACAATACATTTGTATTATTTTTGCTTTAAAACCTACTATCTTTTAAAGAAATTTAAATAAAAAAAGTCTATAAATTTACCCACTTAGTTATGATTTCTGGTGGTCTTTATTCCTTTGCACTGATCCAGGATTACATTTGCTATCATTTCGCTGCTTGAAGAACTTCCTTTAACATTTCTTATAGTGCAGGTCTGCTGGTGATGAATTTTTTCATTTTTTTTTTTTTTAGGTCTGATAAAGTCTTTATTTCACATCTGTTTTTAAAGGATATTGTCATTGGATAAAGAATTCTATGTCAACACATTTTTTTTTTTATTTCAGTATTTTAAAGATGTTGCTCCACTGTCTTCTTACTTACATTGTTTCCAATGAGAACTATTATCATTCTTATCTTTGTTCCTTTGCCATTTTTCCCTTGGTTGCCCAGTTGTTTTTATCTTTATTGTAGGTGTTAAGCAATTTGATTACAAAATGCGTTGTTCTAGCTTTCTTCATGTTTCTTGCACTTGGGTTCATAGAGTTTCTGTGGATTCATAGTTTTTATCAAATTTGGAAGTTTTTCTTTTTCGGTGAGAAAGATTGGCCCTGAGCTACCATCTATTGCCAATCTTCCTCTTTTTGCTTAAGGAAGATGGTCCCTGAGCCAACGTCTGTGCCAATCTTCCTCCACTTTGCATACGGGATGCTGCCACAGCATGACTTGATGAGCGGTGCATAGGTCCACACCGGGGATCTGAACCCATGAACCCTAGGCTGCCAAAGTGGAGCATGTGAACTTAACCACCAAACTGGCCCCAAAATTTGGATTTTTTTTTAAGATTTTATTGTTTTCCTTTTTCTCCCCAAAGCCCCCCAGTACATAGTTGTATATTCCTCGTTGTGGGTCCTTCTAGTTGTGGCATGTGGGATGCTGCCTCAGCGTGGTTTAATGAGCAGTGCCATGTCTGCGCTCAGGATTCAAACCAATGAAACACTGGGCCGCCTGCAGCGGAGCGCTCAAACTTACCCACTCAGCCATGGGGCCAGCCCCCAAATTTGGATATTTTTAAGCCATAATTTCCTTAAAGATTTTTCCTGTCCCTTCCTCTCTCCACTCCTTTGAGATACCTAATGCATGTATAATTGACTACTTGAAGTTGTCCCATAGTTCTTGGATGCTCTGTCCATCTCTTTCAGTCTTTTTACTCCGTTTCATTTTGAATAGTTTCCTTACTGTCTCAAGTTCATTAATCTTTTCTTCTGCAATTCATAGTCTGCCATTAATTCCATGCAGTGTATTTTTCAGCTCGGACATTATGGTTTTCACCTCTAGTAGTTCAATTTAGGTCTTTTAAATATATCTTTCATGTCCCTATTTAATATGTTCGATCTTTTCTCAAGCTTTTTGAACATATGGTATTATAGCTACAATAATGGTTTTAATTTTTGTTTATTCATTCTATCACCTCTGTCATATCTTGGTCAGTTTCAATCGATTGAGCTTTCTCCTCATTATGTATTTTTTCATGCCTGGGAATTGTTGATTGGATGCCAGACATTGTGCATTTTATCTTGTTGGGTGCTGAATATTTTTGTATTCCTATAAATATTTTTAAGCTTTGTTCTGGGATGCAGTTATTTGGAAACATTGATCTTTTCAGGCCTTTCTTTTATGTACCAGAACAGCATTTAGTCCAGGGTTCAATTTCCTCATTCCCAAGGGAAGACCCTTTTTAGTTACTCTAACCAATACCCTGTAAGTTATGAGGTTTCCGGTCTGGCTATTGTGACTAAGCACTATTCTCAACTGTGTGTGATCTCTGGTGACTGTTCCCTATGATCCTGTCAGGTGGTCCTTTCCCAGGTCTCAGGTAGTTTCCTCACATGCACCCAGTGATCAGTACTCAACAGAATGAAAGGAACCCTCCACAGACCTCTAGAATTCTCTCTAAGTTCTCTCCTCTCCTGTTTTCTATTCTGCAAGTTCTAGCCATCTTGGCTGCCCCAGACTCCTACTTCCATCTCTTTAACTCAAGGAGACTGGTGGACAGTTTCTGGGCTCCCCCTCCCTAATTTTTCTCAAGGCAGTAAGCTGAGAAAATTATAGAACTCATTCATTTGTTGTCTTTCAGGGATTATTACCCTTTGTTACCTGCTGTCCAAAGTCTTGAGAGTCACTCTCACATATTTTGTCTGGTTTTTTTTAGGTGTTTCAGGCAGGAGGGTCAATTTAGTCCCTGTTATTCCATCCTGGGCAGAAGTGGAAGTCAGGGCTGTGGATGCCATGTGAATATCTGTGGCAGTGGGAGCTATCCCAAAGTGAAAAATATGGGGAAGTGGAATAGTGGGGAGAAAGTTTATCTCCTCCAAAATCAGATGATAAAATTCAAAGAGATGACAAAATTATTTTGCAAGACTATAAAGGGCCAGGAGCAAAATACATTCAAATACCTTAAGCAAGTCAAAGAAATGCAAACGTTAACTGAAAGAGTGGCAGAATTTGTTGTAATCTTGGTGAGGTGATGTGTAACTTGATCTTGAATGTAGAGTGGGTTTATAGTACCCATCTGGAGGCCAGGGACCTGAGCCCTGCTCCAGTGTCATGGGAAGCATCCAGCCCTGTGGGCCGGCCAGGGTGTTCCCCAGTCAATGAGAAACTCGGGACACGGAGTCAGAAGCTCCAAGTCACTCAAGTTGAAATGACATAATTGTTTTCTTATCAGATAAGTGCCCTTTTAACCCTAGGAGATTCAAAAGTATAGCAATGGTTAAATAAATCAAATCTATACTAAAGGTAAAATGTTAAGCTTGGAACAATCTGTGTAAATTTAATATACAAGTACATATAATGTTTCAGAGGATTTGTATATTAGAGAATCTAACAAATTTGAATTGCATATTAGAGAATCTAAAAAATTTAATTTAAAATGTGTATTACTT